ATTATCGACTTTTGTTGTATCGGGTCAGAAAAATAACAGCATGTCGCCTTAACGGTATATGGTTCGCTGAAATAAAAATATTCCATCACATGATATTATAACATAGTCAATATTTAGAAGGTTGTAGAAATATTTTACATCCGTTTACAAACTCCGTCTCAAAGTTAAGATGTCTTCTATAAAAAGCTGACATGTATTATTTTATATCTGTATGAAACAGGTAAATAAAAACAACATTATATTGTGCAAGTATTATATGGAAGCAAGGCTAGGTTTTGCTGGAAATGGTGGGGAAAGCTCCTATGCAATTTAAGGTACCCCCCCCCCCCCCTAAAGTCAACTGCGTGACGTATGCATGTATACTGTACATACAGCCTCGTACCCAGGCGCAAATAAGTACTAAAAATAGCAACACTACAGTGTTTTTATATGGAACCTCGTCGTGTCCTCCCCAAGCACCCCCGCGCGCTCGGTCATCTTAGCCACAGATCTATATAAAAACACTGTAGTGTTACTATTTTTAGTACGTTATTTGCGCCTGGGTACGAGGCTGCTGTACATAGGTATCAGTGTATTTATGAATTATGACTGTACGACACACCCAATTTTGCCCTTCCTTACATTAGTACAAAATATCTTTCAAAAGATTGCATGAATAGGAGAGATGAATGGACCTTTCCCCTAAGGGGAAGTGCATGATTGACTTTTCAGGGGAGATGCTGAAAAAACCTCAGGGGAGGTGAGCGCCTCCCCACAAAATCTGGCCACGTATGAAAGTGATGTTAGCTATGCACATATATTCAAACATCTACACATACTTGTACAGTTTACTGGTGAGTTATTTGACTTATGGTTTGTGAGCATTTATGACCTATAAAATGCGGGTATGAAGATCATACTCAGTTTCCCAAACGCTGGTGAGCTGCTCGATCAATCTAATATCCTGGATTATGATATCACAAATGGAGATATCGCTTTGGTCCAACCCGACAGTAAATTCATGATGCTTTTAGAATGAAGTGCAGAAGATAGATTGATGGCGAGCAAACTTCGCATTGCCAAAGAGGAAAGACCCTGGATACGAGATTGATATTATCAGATTTTAAAATTTTATTAATCTAATTATCAGAACTAAATTGGAAGCTGCGGAAGACGAGGTTGCGGAGTTGAAAAGAAAATTGAGAAAAACGAACGAGGATTATAGACAAAAAATAAATGTAGAGAAGAAAGATAAGTCCCACTCCACCACGTCGCCTCCCCGGCCAACACCAAAGCAACGGAATAAAAATGGGTAAGTGTAATGTCAATGATTAAATGGATTCATTCATAACAAAGACAGATAATTCGTCCAGATGCTCGGCAACTGCACTCGAGCAGCATCTGGTTGCATTTTTATTTATCCATATATAGCTTTCACTTGCATCGTCGTAGTATATTTACAAGAACTTGTGATTAATGCTTGGCAACTAGATTCTGTAGCTCAGTACTCAGAGCGCTGACAGTCTGTACACAGGCTGGCCCTCTAGCAAGAATCGAACCACTTGCGGCCCTGCGATTCCAGTGAAGCACTCTAACCAACTTGGCTACAGAGGCAGGTTGGCGAGCTCTAACCACAAATTCATGTATATACTGTATGGATTGGCCGATGATACTTCTTTAGTACAAATTGCGGCCCATTATACTGAAAGAAGACCCTTGCGCCTGATTATAAAACACGTGAAATGTTTCTCATTGGTATAATTGTTCGATATAGTTCCCTGAAGAAAAGGATTAGTTTTCATGAAGATATCGTTAGAGAAGACAAGCAGGAAGATTTATTCAGTCGTAAAGAAGACGATGCCGCCAGAGTTTTACAGAGGAACTGGAAAAAGTATAATTATCAGGTTGGTAGAGATAATTGATGCAATTTGTGTTGCTTGCGTGTCAGTGGCGGGTTGGGGGGGGGGGGGCAGGGGCAGGGGTCGTTAACCTTTTTGCGTGCCTGCGACCGCACAAATAATTTGAAAATATGCCTGCAAAATGTCTTCATGACCGCACAAATTATTTGAAAATATGCCTGCAAAATGTCTTCATGCAACATGTGAAATCACGACGTGATGAGCCATCAGCCATGAATTACTATTGGTACCGATTACTAGGCTGGCTTATGAGTTATGAGTTACGGCTTTATATATTTTTGGCCTAAGAAATAGATAGATAGATAGATAGATAGATAGATAGATAGATAGATAGATAGATAGATAGATAGATAGATAGATAGATAGATAGATAGATAGATAGATAGATAGATAGATAGATAGATAGATAGATAGATAGATAAACTTTATTTAA